GTGGGAGGCCAGGGTGGACCGCCGATAGGATTCCACGTTTGGCGCATTTTTGTACCAGAAAATGTCATATTCGCGCTCAGGAGGTCAGTCTCCGAGACATTCTTCTGCAAAACATTCAGCCGTTTGTGCTGTAGACGCAGGGACGTGTTGGGGGGCTGGGTTTAACACGGCGCCCATACTCCGCCAACTTTTAAAGCGGCAAGTGACAACAGTGGGAGGAAAACGGGCTGGCGCTGCCTCAAAACCAGCTCTCTGACACCGCGCCGAAAACAACTTGAACTGCGAAAAAACCAGGGTTCTAGCAAGTGGATCTCCGCACATTGTACCTATCTTACCTACTAAACCTTTTAGCACTCAGATGAAAGCAGGTAAAGAAATTGAGCTATGAAAAAAGAAATTGGGCCACGAAAAAGTGTGGAGAGTTTCTAGAAATAATGAAGAGGGGTGAGCCGACTGGGAAAAAAAGCCGTTGGAGCTTACCTGCATGGCCATTTGCTGTTGTTGACTCATGTGCGCTGATGAAGGCATATCATAACCGGGATACCTGGAAAAAGTAAATCATTATTTCGTGACTTATGCTAGTTTGTGAAACTTCCTTACAATCGAAAAATTATACTGACCCATTCATCCCAAATGCTGGATTCATCATTCCCTGTTGTCCCATAAACGGAGAATCTGTTGCATTGGACATCATTCCTCCAGGAGGTGTACACGTGTAGGGATTTGACGTTGATGGCTGAGGTCCCGTAGTTGGATAACCAACAGATGATGGCATCTGCTGTGCGTACGCACTTTGTTGCATGGCATTTTGCTGAGGGTAACTGGATGAATGAGGTCCAGACGGGGGAAAACCAACACTTTGAGATGATGACGGCATAGGGAAGTTTGCTGATGACGCCATTGTCGTCGGAGGGAAATTATCGCCTTGTGAAGACGATGGTTGCTGGAAGAAAGGGGTCTGTGATTGGGTATTTTGAGGGAACGATGAGGATTGGTTGGGAGTTGTTGAGGGATATCCAGTTGATTGTGGTGGTGACGAAGGAGGTCGAAAAGTTGACGGCTGAGAGGAGGGTTGTGGAAAATTGTTCGGTTGCGATGTCGCTACTGGTGGAGGGAATGGTGTCGAAAGTGGTGCAGACGGTGTTGGCGTTGACGGTGGGTTGCAGTTGCTGTTACTCTGGGGAGCCTGAAACAGGACAGAGCATTTAATGAACCACGGCACGATATTACAAGAATCGCTTACTGAATGAACTGAATGGACACTTCGAGGGCCTCCATGTGAGAATCCTGCTGGAGAAGAGGTAGAATCCGTTGACGTTACTAAGGGCACCTGCAACAAGGAAGAGTAGGGAAAGACATGGGCCTGAAGCCAAGGGAGTGCCTGAGCTCAGAACTCACCTGCCCAGCAGCTCCGTCGTTATCGCCAACATCGCTGTCAAATAACGAGTCGACAGCATCGGCTCCTAGCATTCCCAAGCTATCTGTACGTATACTTGTAAGCATCTTCGTCATGTTGTCCTCATTCACGGCATTACATCCAAGATCCTCAGCAGGACTGCGTAAACTCTGCTCTATCATGGCTGAGCTAGCGCAGGAGTTTCCTAGTGGCACGCTGCCGGAATTCGCTAGCGCTGGAGGTGTTGGCACCTGAAAATCACTTTGTAACTTATAGTAAAGGTTCACAAGAGATTTGATCTGAAAACGATTGCAGCATACAACAGCAGCACTAAGTTAATCAGGTATGAAAATCCATGTTGCTCAAAGGCATAGTCCACGCTCATCGTACGGTGGGCGGAGTTAATCAATCACTAGCCTCCCTCATTCCCATGTCTTCCTTTTCCGAAAAAAGGAAGATTTGAGACGTGCGCCAACGAGAAAAACACAAATGACTGACTGTTCACGCCCATGCGGTCAACGTGAACTGTGTCTCCAACAAAAGAAGTAGTTGCTTTCAGCATCAATCTGATAGCCATAGACCATCACAGTCTTTTGCAGGCATTCCTCTTAGCATGCACTGGTGACTACCCAGATAGAGCTGAGGTGGTGATATGGGGCACCTACTGCTGTTTCACCCCCGAACATCGGATCCACGACGGCGTCCTTGGCAGCAAGGAGGAGGACGACGAAGAGAGGAGCGGCGAATGTAACATACACTCACCAACACACTAGTAAATTTCCCTTTCCCGATATCTTCGATGGCGACTTTGTATACACGACCCGAGACGAAGGCCCTGGCGCATGGCGCGGCCGCTCTGACACGCCCCGTCATCCCCAGCGAACAATACCACTATGTTCTTTTTCAATTTTTTTTTTTCGTTTAGCGACAATACTGTAACATATCGTTCGTATCAGTCGTTTTCCACTCGCTATTGTCACTTACTCTCTTCCACAACTGGTAAAGAACGAGCAAGCAGCGCGCTAAACTCAGCCGTGCTGACACGCCCCGTCCATCATCCGCAGCGAACAAACACCCTTACCAACTCATGTCCAAAATTTTCTCTCCTCTAACAGCCTTGTTCGCTGCGGATGCTGGGGAGGAGGTTCACAAGAACTTCCACCAAGCAACAGCGGTTGTTGAGGAACAGGTTGGCACCCCCCCCCCCCATTGACACCCCCAGCATCCGCAGCGAAGAAGACTGTTATACTCTTGCACCATTTGACTTTCTAAGCAGTGCTCTGAGCACTAAAGTAAGCGGAGGACATTCCTGTTTGACACTGCTGCCCTTGAATCCCCTCTACTGCGTCGTAGTTCCGCGTACTCCGTTGTGACCCCAGTGCGGGTAAAGGCTAAAGGGCCGACGGAAAGTCATCGCTATTTCCTACAGTCTAACCAATGCAGAGCTTTACACTAACAAAAACCATGAGAAAAAACAGATGAGAAAAAAGAAGCACTAACTTCATTGGGTGACGTTGGGCACATAGAAGGACTTGGACGCATTCCACAACTGTACGGAGTTGAATCGGAGGTAGAGAATTGGGTTTGTGATTGTTGATGGATGACTGGTGTCGAATCAGTCGAGATAGGAAATTGAGGCAATTCCATCGAAGGAAAGCGTTGACCCAATGACGAGCAATCGGCAGTGGATGTCGACGGCATTGGAGAACATGCCACAGATGACGACACCGCTCCTTGGGATGTTGAAAACGAGTTTCCACGGAAGGATGGTGTCGACTTGGAAGTAGGGAAATGTCCATTAGGAGCAGAAAGTCCTCCGTTGGAGGAGTACGAACCAGGTGGGTAGGAGGAACCATTCGGAAAGGCTGGACTAGGGAAGCCCAGCATTACTCCCTTAGTCTGCTGTTGCATTTCGGGCATCTAAAATAGTGCAATAAGAGGAGAGAAATAAGAACTGCGAATAAAATCAAAACCAAAGCAAAAGAGGAAGGAGGAACGTACCATCATTCCTGGGTAGAATGTCCCATTAGGAGTATGATAAGGCATACTACCGTACATGTCCGCAGATGTTTTCGATATATCAGACATTCCCGAACCTGTTACGGTACAATTATTAGGTCCAGTACCAAAGGAAAAGCGTATCCGATTGAACCTACCTTCCATCATACGGAACCCTTGTCGCCACTCCTCATGACCGTAGTCATTATTATCAAGGTGACGTTTTCTGTCCTGAAAGTCAACGGATTAAACGAAATGCAGCAAATATCACCTTGAGAGCTACTTCAGGGACCAACAAGTGTCAAACTACCTACCCGATTATTGATGGGTGTCGACTGATATAACGGTGGAGGCATAGCAGACGGGGCACTGTGGCCGCTCAAGGCATCCTTTTGCTTACCCACACTTTCTGCCCGTTTCTTCGCTTCTTCTTCCAGCCATCTGCAACTGAACTTGTTGAAAGTGCAAGGGAAATGTAAAATTATGCACTTCAAAATGGTCACGTATAGGTATCTGCGAGACAGTGACCATGTAAAAGAGCTACAGAAAATACGCCTCCTCTTTCTGGACGAGTTATGTGTCGTTTGGAGCCAGATCAAGAGAACTGACTACCAGTACACGTTAGATTTTATTACGACTTAGCGTTCAGACTTCGCGATGACGCGTGTCGGTGTGCTACCAATGGGCCGATGCCGTTTGGACTCCAGAAATTTCGGCACCGAGCCCATTTTTAAATTGCCTAAGTCACCAAATCCGCTAAAAACTTGTATATAGGAGT